ATGTGGCTATAAAATCCTAACTATGTATAATTATGTAGCATACACTAAGCATATAGCAATGATATGTTCAATCTTATAAAAGCAACCTCCTAGGCTAAAGGCATCACAAATCAGACAACCTTAACACACTCTTCTTGAATGATCCTTAGCCTATCACCTAGCATGCAGATCTATCAGTTCATAAGCAAACAGCTCAATACTACACATAGAATAAATATAGATATTTTTGGAAAGCACCGCCCGAGATCTGGTTGATTGTACACACTGCTTCATCCGGTTTTCCCCTTTGAAATTCTTTGTTTTTTATTTTTTGAAAATTTTTTATGAAAATCCTCAAATCCTTAGTTTGAGTTTGGAATCCCACGATTGTTCATCCAAATCCCAAAACCCTAACTTCTAACATCACCAAAAACTCCATAACACATGCGTGGAAGAAAGGAAATGACCAAGCTAACATTTTTATGACTCTAAGCACCCTAAAATGTCTGAAAGGACAACTCATATGCTATGGAGTATTCCATACTCACAAAGATCAAGGTTTTGGGACAGAATGAACATAATCCAAGCCTAAACAAGATCTAGCAAAACAAACTCCAAGGTATGTACTTTATAACTTTAAAGCATGAACAAAGAGATGTAGATTCTGGATCCACAGGCTTGAATGCACCACCACTTCTTGAATGATCTTCCTTCACTACCAAGAACACTCAAAGATCACTCTGAAGCTTCAAATCTCACTCACAAGGGGTAAAGTTTCGATTTTAGGGTTTAGAGGAATGGAGGCTGGTTATAAGAAGGCCCAATGGGGATTAAGATGTTTAAATAGGGGACACAACCCTAAAAAAAATTAGGGTTTAAGCACTGCACGAGTACGCCCGACGTACCTATATGTACACCCAACATACTTCTCCTCCGTCACGACTCTCATGTTAACTTACGTCCGACGTACAAACCTGGTACGCCCAACGTAAGGGGCTAAATTGCAATATTTTAAAATACTAAGGGTTGAAATGGAAATACCTGACAACGGGTATTACATTCTTAATCATGCAATCAACACTGACCTGGTTATTCAAGATGCGTTCTATCTAAGTTGGTACTGAGAACAACTAATAAGCTCTAGTACATTTTCTTTTACCTAATTAGTTAACCAAAACGCTCTTCAATTAACCCTAACTTTTTACTATCTAATTAAACAAGCTCTTAATTAAATATGAAAAGCAACATTATGATTTGTGTAAAATTCCCAGCAATATCCAATACTTCTCATAAGCTCAAAAGCGTAAAGATATGATTTTTACAGTTTATATCAGAGTTAAATACCAACACATAACCAATCTGATATTTGTTACTTATTACCGGTTGATTAGAACAATTACAAAGTTTATTAACTGATTAACTAGAACGATTAAACCATAATCAGGTGATCACGCTAAAAAGAATCAAAATCAAACATTCATTAAGCACAAAACTGAAAAATCTAGATAGAATCACACAATGAAAACCAAGTCTAGTGATTGATAACATGAAAAGTAATAATATGTGCAGAACTGAAAACTAGTGTTTAGCCAGACATGGCTAAAAACCAATCAAAGCTAATAAAAAGAAAGATTAAACTACTAATTCTTACTAAACTAGATGAGAAACATGATCGACAACCTTCAGGTCTTCAGAAAAAATGGCGAAAACAGAGAAAATTCACCTCTAAATTTGTCTATAGTCATATGGGAATGATTTCTTACAACTAGGGTTCTATTGGGGACAATTTATACGAAATCAGCAGCAAAATCGTAACAAATCGTCAGAAAAATTGATAGGTGCGCCACGCTCATAAGGAGGCGCATTGCGCCCTTCCTTAAAACTGCCCAATTCGATCGTTTAATGAAGTACGTTGCTTTTTTGGGCATATTTGACAAAAAAATGATCGTGTTTTGTGGGAAAACGCGAGGTCCCGAAACATGACTTTTGACGATTTCGGAACTGCGACTTGTTTACATGATCAAATTTTTGAGGAAAATTCGATCGAATTTTTTACTTTTCTTCATAAAACTTCAAATTAAGGCAAGCAATCCTTGAACTCTTCACACGATCGAATTTCTAAAGAAACACGATCGAATTTGTGGGTTTTCACGCAAAATGTTCGTTTTTCCTTGTCCAAAACAGCTTCCAAGCATTCCCAAGCATCCTTCATAAGTTCTAGTTTAGTTCCAATGCTCCATCAAACGCATCCAAAGCTGCTCCCAAATCTCTATTCCACTTGAATTATCTGAAAACGACATCAAAACATGAGCATTACGGGAATTCTGACGAAGGACATGAGCTGAACATTATTTAAGTTAATGCATATGAAAATGCATAAAATATGATGCAAAATGTTAATAAAAACTACCCTAAAAATGCATAAAATGACATCTATCAACTCGGTATTGTACCCGAAAACGAACCGACACCGGTTCTTATATATTGGTCCTATAAAATCTCGTTAATCAATTTCCGGGTTTTCTGGGTTTTGGTCAATTCGAGCCGGGTTTGGACCCACTTTCATCCTTACTGCATGCTTCCAACACAACTGTCTATCCTTTCATCATCACATGTCTTTTATTTTCTAGGTAATTATTTTGATTTAAAATAGAGTAAATTACACAAATGGTCCCTATGGTTTGGGATAATTTGCACGCTTGGTCCCTAATTTATTTTTTTTAACTTGGAATGTCCCTACTGTTTGTTTTTGTTACGCACTTGGTCCCTACTATTTGTTTTTGTTACGCGTTTTGGTCTCTGTCTTACCTAAAAAGACTATTATTTAAATAGGGAAAAATGGTGAGGTAGGTAAAGTAAGGTGAGGAGGTGGGGTTGGATGTGTGTTTATTTAAATAAATTAAAAAATCAAGGGAAAAATAATCTTTTTAGGTAAGATAGGGACCAAGCGCGTAACAAAAACAAACAGTACAGATCTTCCGAGTTAAAAAAACAAGTTAGGGACCAAACACGCAAATTACCCTAAATCATAGGGATCATTCGTGTAATTTACTCTTTAAAATAACAAAACCAAAAAATTATTTCTACCACCTTTTGATTAATAAATTGAAATAACACTAATATATTAAAACGTTGTAAACTTTTTTATTTTTTTTTCACAAAACTTCATTAATGTGTGGTTTGGTTTTCCTTGGACCGTCGTCCAAAATAGAAAAAAAAGATGGGAGAGTAGTTATGCTGTCAACACCCAACATTCTTAGGGCATGTTTGTTATAGTCTGACTGGGACCGAGTCAGCGATTTGGGCTGACTCGGTCAGCGATTTGGGCTGACTCGGTCAGACGGAAATGTGTTTGATAATCGCTTTCTCACTCAGAAACGTCTGGCCCATATGATTTCTCGGTCAGACATTAAGATGCTGCTAACTGAAAAAATGACCTTCATACCCTCTCTTTTCTTTCTTCCCATCGTGACCTAGAAGAGAAACAACAAAGAAATTGGCCGCCATCGACAGCTCCCTCTATCGTCGCCGTCCCTCCCTCAGTTCGACTACCGGCCTCACTCTTCCCTCCGATTCGAGCTCCCGCGAGAAAGACATCAAAACAGGTACGTCCTCGTTTTTTTTTCCTGTGAAATCAGAAAATTGTCTTTCTCCTCCTCGTTTTTTTTTTCTGTGAAATCAAAATATTGTTTTTCCTTCTCCTTTGTATATGATTTGTGAAATCATAAATCAGAATTTGGTTTTGAAATAAAAAATTGTTCTTGTTCTTGAATTCATGTTCATATAGTGGATAGCAATTCCATACAGAAGTAAAGGGAACCTGCATAATAATTGGCATCTACAATGTTGTTTCATTATCATCTTAATTTGGTTTGAAGGGGGACAACAAATCTCAAATGTTAGAGCCTGATGCTGGATACTAGGTTTTCATTGTAAAATTTGGGTTAGGTGTTTTGTAGCTTCTGTATGTGTAAAGTGACAGCCGATAATCTATGATTTTACCATGGTTTTAATATGTTTGTTATGTTGTTAAACATTGTTATATACGAGTTATATCTTATATTCATATGATGAATCATCTTTCTATAGTTTTAACACTCTTACATCAAGTCTATTTATTCAGTTATGCATGATTTCTAACTTGAAATTTGTATTTAGTAAATATGAACAATTGTGAAGAGAATAAAAGCTGGGAAATTGATTATATTTGATCCAATGGAAATGTTGGAAACAAGCTGGTGTTTGTTGGAAATGATATTTTTGAATAATTTGTTTTGTATATTTTGCAAATTGAAGAATCTCTTTCGTTTTTGGGTCAAATGTTCATATGTAGTATGTGATTAGTTGTGGAAGGGTAAAATGATCATTTTTTATTAGTCAGCGCATTCAGTCAGATTTGTTTCTTACTCACTCAGGATTTCTTACCCAGACAGACATTTCCCAGTCAGCACTTTATCAGTCAGAAACTATCAAACGGGGCCTTAAATTATAGGTCATGGATGGAAAAAACACATTGATGAATGATGAGACCACAAATTATAACACGACGTAAGTGAAAATATTAATATTAATATGATAATAAATAAAAGATGTTTTATTATAAATGGTAAATTATATAAAAAGGAAACGTCTCTTATAAAATATGTTTCTAAAATAAAAATCAATAAAAAATATTTTTTTACATCAATTATGTATAACTAATCGTATTAAAAATAATACTCCAATCAGAAAACGAAAGAATAGTCATAAACATAGCTTTTGAAATGTTAACCGCAAATTAATACACGACAACGACAGGACCGTGTGTAAAGCTCGTCTTTAAATTTTAAAATTAAATGAAAATTTTAAATTGTTTTATTAATTTCGTTGAAAAGTCAAAACTGGTCAAGAACGATGTATTTGAGACTTTGAGTTAGGTTAGTTGTAGGAAGATGAGAAGATCGTTAAAGTTAACGGTAACGTTGCTGACGTGGCAATAGTTTATCTACCGACTCAACTTTGACGCCTGTTATCGTTAACAACTTGCCATTTTGTTTATGATTACTGTATTCCCATCTCTCTGTGCAAATAAGAAACCCAACTGCAATCGCCATTTATCTTCCCGCCTCTCTCTCTCTCTCTCTCTCTCTCTCACACACACACACACTGAGGAAGGCGGCGAACTCTAGTCGGTGGAGGCGTTATAATGATAAAAGGAAGTCGCATTATAGAGTCGTTTCTATGGAAGATGTCGGGATTATTCAACTTCTTCATCCTTCTGTTGTTCTTATCGACGAGTCTTCGTGATATCAGATCCGCCGCTCAGCTTTTGCCTGATGATGAAGGTACAGTGTTCCTTAATTTTTAATTGCTCTCCGTTCATCAACATTTCTGTTGTTTTAGTCACTAGCTAGTTATTGTTCTGAATGTTTGAACGAATCTGATGGTTCTCTTGATTTTGACTTTGCAATTTGCGTTTAGAGAAAATTGATTTCGGAGTAAAGCTTTATTTGGATAGTCGATGATAATCGTTATGTTATCCAGTCTCTCTTTTACCTTTATGAAGTCGCATAAACATCTGTTTTGGTGCTCATTGAACTGTAAAAGGAAGCTGTGCGGAATTGATTTCATTGTACAGCTTTAAAGGAGATAAAAACAATTTTTTCCCGAGAAGGTTACAAAAGTTCGGATTACTTCATTGACTTCATCGAAAATACTTTGATCTCTCCAAAAAGTTTGCCCAGATTTGAACTTAACTCACATTTTAGCAATTTACTTTATTATTATTCAAGAATGGGAAATAACGACAATAATAATAAGATAACAAAAATTCAATATATGTCAATATGTCATGAATGATCTATAAGATAATTGAGATGACAGGATAAAATATCAAAAATTAGAAAAGTATAATACTTGTTACCTAGGTTTGACTTCTTATATGATCACACTGTTAAGGGATAGTATTTTATTGTTTTAATGAAAACAAGTAATATTCTTTCGATATTATAGTAGTCCTTTTAAGACATTTCTTAATACAAATATCTTATCATTAATAATATTTAAAATACATACCATTTAATAATATCAACACAATGGTTAAGAATGTATTAATATAACTACACCTTAATAATTAATATTGGTGACATGGTACAAAATCCATTTGCGCTTAATTATTGTAAAAAAATATTCAAGGTCATATGAAGTATTTATCACAATAGGTATGTATGGGCCCCAAAGTTCATATCAACGTGCATCCCTATAACCCTATTCAATTAATTCATCCTTCAAAATTATGGATCTAATATAACGTGCTTCCTTCACCTATTCACCATGTCAGCTTTGATGGACCCCTTCTATATATTGTTTTATTTTTTCGTAAAATTTTAACTTTACATAGAATAAAATAATACCCTACCTAACAATTTAATCCTATTCTACTTTGATTCCTTTACTGCTTTTTTCCTTTTTTTTTTTCTATTATCGATGAAATAGTTATCTCATGTTCTACGGAGTTGGTTTAAAGGTCCTCTCTCAGATAGTTTGACTTTGACCATATAGCGTTTGGCCACCTGGTTGCATTTAAGGCCAGCCTTGATATAAAAAGACATATTTGATGTATGTAGATGTGCGGCTGAATGGATGTCGTTTTCTTTTTGTCAACCATGCAAAAATATATGTATTTTTTTTGTTCCATACAGCGTGTATAATTGACATTTATAATTTATAACCTACTTCCTTCGTGTGGGGATTATTTCCACTTTCTTGATATAATGTCAATATCGTTCGTTATGATCTTGATCCATTCCTCTAAACAGTTTAAAAATTAACAAGAAAGTTTGTTCTTTTCCACCAATCTACAAACATGTATTGACCTTTTACCTAGTTTCTGAACAATTCAACTTATTATGAAAGTTTGACAGCTATATGCATGACTAAATAATAAATGCGAGTTTATATATAATTCCCTTTTTTTTTTGTTTGTAACAGTTGAAACTATGAGAGTCATAGCCTCAAAGCTACAAAACACTAGGTGGAATGTTTCTAGAGATTCATGCACTACAGGTGAAGGGCTACAACAGATAATTTCCAATGATACAAGATCTGAAAGGAGACATATTATGGAAGTTGGAAGCAATATAACTTGCAACTGTAACATCACTAATAGTACTTTTTGCCACATAACAAACATGTATGCATCTATCTTTCTTTCTATAACATATATTAATTAATCATGTCACTAATCAATGTTTACTGATATTTTCAATACTTGTATTAAATTGCAGCCAGGTGAAAAAAATGAACTTGAACGGAGTTTTACCTGAGGAATTTGCAAATCTCACTTTTCTGCAAGAAATGTAAATCCAACAATCACCATGATCAATTTCTAATTATGTTAAATTAGTAAATTTATTAATATACCTGTTGTAATTAATATGATACATTTTTCATACATACAGAGATCTGACTCGCAACTATATCGGTGGCTCTATTCCCGCAAGTTTCAGCCAGCTTCCTCTTATTTTCTTGTAAGTTACTTTTTGTTTCAAATTTTCCCTTTTTGCCCTTGTGAATATACTTTTGACACTGTATTTTCCATAGGAGTATTGGGGGGAATCGCATCAGTGGTTCCATACCTGAACAATTAGCTAATATTTCTACACTTGAGGAATTGTAAGCAAAGATTCTTGGTTTTCGTCTTTACCCTATAATCATATGAGACCTTATAATGAATTTACTATTTTGACCTTTAGGGTCGTGGAAAACAACTTGCTTGGAGGACCACTTCCTCCACAACTTGGACGCTTGTCTCGCTTGAGAAGATTGTAAGATTAATTTATATATAATGTTTATATTTTAGTGTTGATATCGATAACAAGATTTTTTTTTTATTTTTTTTTTCTTTTTATTGCAGTGTTGCTTCTGCAAATAACTTTACTGGAACTATACCGGTTTCATATGGCAATCTGACTAATTTAGAACAGTTGTAAGTCATAGTTATCTTTTATTAATTATAGCGAGTCATTAAATACTCTATATAAATTATTTAATCTTTTTTTTTTTGGTTACATTTCTTGCAGTAGGATAGATGGGAGTACATTATCTGGGAGTATACCTGATTTTATCGGAAACTGGAAAAATCTCACAGTACTGTGAGTATTATTTTACTCTCTTTATTGTGATTAAAGTTTTTAAACTTTAATCATTTATAATTTATTTTGCAGTGATATGCAAGGAACGAACATGTCTGGACCCATTCCTACTACAATATCTCTGTTGAGAAAATTGAAATCATTGTGAGAAAGAGCACATTATTTTATTTTTGTTAAATTTTCAGTCAGTAGTTTTCTGGCAATAGACTTTAACATTGAACTTATTTTATATCAGGAGGATATCTGATTTGGCTGGATCATCGAGTTCACCATTTCCTAATCTGGAGGCTATGACAAACATGGAGGATTTGTGAGTTGATTAAATAATTTGTGTGAAAGAAAATAAAAAGTGTGTTATAATACTTACATATAATTTTGCTACAGGATTTTGAGAAATTGTTTGCTTACTGGCCCAATGCCTAAGTACATTGATGGAGGATATGACGATTTAAAAAACATGTAAGTCAGTTGCTAATAGTAGTATTCATGTTAAGATTATGTTTTTGACACGTTGTGCGATAGTTTTATTGATTAAATTTTTGTCTGAATTGTTTTTTTTTTATTATTTGCAGAGACCTGAGCTTCAACCAGCTGAATGGTTCAATACCCGAATTATTTCAATTTATAGACTTTGACACCTTGTATGCAACGCAACTACTTCCTAAGATGTTATAATTTATTTCCTATTTTAATTTTGAGGTTAAATTTGTTATTTTGAGATCTAATATTGTCCATGTATGTAGGTTTCTAAATAACAACTCACTATCCGAAGATATTCCAGCATGGATGTTTTCTCGCACAGACAAGATGTAAGTGATACCCCTGGCCTTGACTATTATTATTAGACCAAATTTCAAGACAAAAATAAATGTAGTTTACTCTTTTTACCAATATAGTATCATTTACCTATAATAGCAATATATTTACATTTTTATCAAAAATAGCAATATGTAATTCACAATATACATTTTCTTTATACATAATGTGTAGCAAAAGGCAAGTACGTTGCTTATTTAGGTAAAAAAAATAAAATAAAGTAAGTCTGTTGCTATTATGTTAAAATATTAGCACTATGTTTATTGCAGTGACTTATCTTACAACAATTTTGCAAATACTACACAGCAAACTTGTGGGTCATCTAGAGTGTGAGTTTTCCTATTCTACCCTTCCTTTACCATATCACAATATCATTACTTTCTATATTCACTAATTATATATACCTTTATTTATAACAGGAATTTGGTTTCAGCCTTGTCACCTTCAGCCCCTGCACCCAACAGGTATGTCCCCTGTCAACCCGTTCACATAAAACTTTTTCAACTGTTTACAATCATGTTACCTAACATGTTAATGAATCTTCTAGAGAAAGTTGGTGTTTAAGAGACGAAATTGGTTGCAGCAGAAGCCCCAAGTGTAAGAAATTAGTAAACAAAAACAACCCTTCCCTTTTTGTAACGTATCTAAATCTTGAAATGTATCTGAAATTCCAGATCATTCGTTGTTTATTAACTGTGGTGGAGATAGCACAGTGTTTGAGGGAAACGAATATCAAAGGGATTTTAGCAACGAGCAAGCTTACTTCTATTCTGAATCGGATGGATGGGCTTATAGCGCTAATGGTGTTTTCATGGGCAACAGTAGTGCCCCATTTGTTGGAACCAATACGAATGTAAGAGATGGTAAAATATACGAATCAGCTCGCTTTTCTCCCACTTCACTTAGGTACTACGGATTATGTTTGAGGGAAGGAAGTTATAAAGTGAGGCTCCATTTCGCTGAAATAAGTTACACAAATGATTCCACATTTGCAAGCCTTGGAAGACGCTATTTCGATATATCAATCCAAGTCAGTAACAATAATAACCCAATTTTTTTTTATTGTAGATTTTTAGTTATGAATTTAATTTTGTTATATAGGGCGTTTTGGAGCGGAAAGACTTTAGTATTGTGGAAAGAGCTGGAGGTGTTGGAAGAGGGACCTTCATAGATTTTGATAATGTTACGGTTACTGGTAGCACGTTGGAGATTCACTTGTACTGGGCTGGAAAAGGGACAACTGGCATTCCTGAGCGAGGTGTTTATGGACCTCTTTTATCAGCCATCGCAATAACACCAAGTAAGTAAATATTATCCCACCTTTTTAAGTGGGACAAAAAATTGAAGAATCATGTATAAATTACTTATTTGACCTTGTTGCAGACTATAATGTCAGTACAGGTGGGATTTCTGCTGGAGCTATTGCTGGAATTGTGATTGGTTCATGTGCGTTTATAGTCCTAATTTTAGCTCTGCTTTGGTGGGGAGGATATATAGGAGGAGACAAAGAAGATAAAGGCAAGACACAATATACATAAAGATAAATAAATTATGTGTATAAGATTTTATACAGTTCTAACTGCTTTTAATGTTGTACAACAGAGCTTCGAGCGCTTGAATTACAAACGGGGTATTTCAGCCTGCGACAAATTAAATCCGCTACTCATAACTT